AGTATTATTGAGTTTTAAATGTACGTACACCGATAAACACGTCTACTAAACTAATAAATCATAAAATTAATACAATATTATCAGTTTTTTTACTCTTAATCACTTCAATATTAACAAGGATGTGAACTCCCATAAGGATGTCGGTCTTTAATAATATCTCGTCGGTGTTATTCGCAAGTTAGCCGATACGTAATGATTTTTTAAATAATTTCCTTAGGAAATCATTTGTATTTCGTATGAAGCGATTTTTATGCAGATAATTTTAACTAATTCATTTATTTTTAACTATCTTAATTAAACTTAATTAATATAATTTAAGTAACACAAGTAACTACGCAGTTAATAAATAAAGTAAATGAAGAATTGTATGAAAAGATATTTGGATAATTTTAATTAAATATTTTTAACTAGTGAACACATATTTCGCTATAATGCTAATTTCTATCAATGTAAATTACTTTTAATCTCGATTCTTTTTCTTTTTTTTTTTAGTTCTAACAATCGGGAAAAGATAAAGAGTAAATTAAATCAAGATTAAAGTTAATTTGTAGAAATAGGAATGATTTTTATTTAGTGACACAAGTCGATACAAATATCATTTTATCTCTCTTAAGGGAATGCTGGAGCCGCCTGTATTACCGATAAAACTAGCGTTTTTAATGTTTTTGTTCCTGTTGAATTTCTTCGTAATGGTTTCACAGAATAAAAATTCCTTTCCTACGATTAAAATATACATGCTAATGTATTTGTCGCTGATGTATTTTGTGTTCAAAACTGGAAAAAATAAAAAATTACAGATTTCTTTATCCATTTTTATCTCAATATGGCGACCAATGCTGAAGGTAAAATGAATAAAGAAATTTGTATTTTTTTATTTTTTCTAGCTTTGAACACAAAATACACCAGCGAAAAATACATTAGCGTGTACATTTTAATCGTGAAAAAGAAATTTTTATTCTGTGAAACCCTTACGAAGAAATTCGACAGGAATAAAAACTTTACCATCATTTTCATTCGGTGAAATATCTCCGAATTGAATTGATGGATTGCAAAATTGTTTTTACAAAATTAAAGTACACACAAATAGGACCTCAGCTGTATCGGATTTTATGAGAAAATCGAAGAAAAGTTTAAAAATTCGCTTACTTTTAACTCGTACAGCAGATACCTCAGGTCTATATTTGCTTTATACAAGAGTTTTATAGTTTATATCTTGAAAATAAGCATACGGCTGAGGTCACATTATTGTAACGAACGATACCGAGTTTGTAGAACTAAGATTGAAAGTCTAGAAGAAAAGCTTTTTCACCGAATGGAAAATACGTGTACACGCGGATGCTTTGCGAAGACTGGGACTGTCAATAGAGCCGAAATTCCATGTAGTAATAGTTGCGCTGTTTTGCGATAGATGGTGTTGGCATATATTAGATAAGGACAGATGTATGCGTTTAAGTGAGATGGAACGATATACAATATAATGTAAGAAATGAATCAAAGATGTCACTATTATCGAATTTGGAATTAAAAAAGTCTGCACTATCGACCTCGATCAAGTTCGGTAATCGGTTTAGGATCCCCTTAAGGGGATCCTAAAGCCGTCTGTATTACCGACTAAATCGTAATTTTTGTATAACAAATATTTCTTTTCTCTTTCACAGATTTCGAAAATCCTTTTCCAGGATTAAAGTATACACATTAATACGTATTTGTGAGGTGGAATTTATGCCGAGAACAACAAAAAATTTCGAAATTAAAATCTTAAGAAAAATTTTTTGTCGTTCTCGGCATAAATTCCACCTCACAAATACGTATTAATGTGTATACTTTAATCCTGGAAAAGGATTTTCGAAAGAGAGAGAATCTGTGAAAGAGAAAAGAAATATTTGTTATACAAAAATTACGATTTAGTCGGTAATACAGAATACTTTAGGATCCCCTTGGAATATTCAATGAATAACAAAGATAGAACGATATTTGTGTCAACTTGTATCATCAAATGGAAAGTATCTCTATTTCTACGAACGTAAGTTAACTTTAATCTTGATTTAATTTATTCTTTATCTTTTTCTAATTGTTAGAACTAAAAAAGAGACGAAAAAAGACGTATCTATTGTTTTATCTATTCTTAATTAAAGATATAGCCTGAACCAACGTTATCAGTTATAGAAAGTTGTTTAATATTATCTCTCACGTAATCAGTACTATTAAACTTAAAAAATGCATAACGCTCATAAAAGATAATATTTACGCCTGTATAAATATAATTAATATAAGTAATAATAATCTAAAATAATAAACGTATTACGCATAATTTTGCATAATACAAAAAACATATTTTATTAAAATATTAATAATTTGATTATATTTTATTACATTTTATATTTTATTAAATCAATCAACACGTCTCGCATTTGATTATCTCTTTTGTAAACAAGAGTCTCACAATTTTATTTGATCAGCGTCAGCACGCGCATCGCTCGCGAACTCGATTGATCAACAATTGTCATCAAATTGCCAATTGGCATGAAGAATAACCGCGCTTTCGCGTTGGCACCGACGAGATATTATTAAAGACCGACATCCTTATGGGAGTTCGCGTCCTTGTTAATATCGAAGTGATTAAGAGTAAAAAAATTGATAATATTGTACTAATTTTATGATTTATTAGTTTAGTAGACGTGTTTATCGGTGTACGTGCATTTAAAACTCAATAATACTTGATTTTTCTTTAAAATTGTGAT